TTATTGAAATGTAAGTGTAATAACAGAATCATCAAAAAGTGCATTTTCACATAAACTCTCTGAAAACTAATATACTTTACTACAAACAGTGGAAATTAGGTTGTTGGAGAAAAAAGCCTAGGCTTCGGAGGAAAAAAATGCATCTGGAATTAAAACCCTCGTCAAACAAAAAACCTTAAGGAAGTTAGTTCTTGTCTAATAATGGCAGATAAAATGTTGCTAATAATTCCTCCCTCATGTGGTCCTTAGTAAGACTGCACAGGAGGCATGGACACATTGTGCAGGAGCCACTCCCCGTCCTATTCTACTGTACACGCGTGTACATGCAGGCTTCCCACACCTTAGCCCTCCCACTAACTCCAAAAGGTGGGTGCTCTTATTATTCTTATTTACTTATCAGGGAAACTGAACCACAGTTTAATCAAAGCCACAAGGTAGCCACATGGTGTTCTAAAGCCATGCAGCCCAGTTCCAGAAAAGTGAAAAGGCAGTAAAAAGCTGAATTATCTAAACTGTTGTGAGAGTATGAGTGTCATATAGTCTGTCTGAAGAGTTGGCATTAGCTCTTCCATCTGAAACTACAACAGAAATGTGCAATTTGTAGAGTAAGATAGCTTAATGATCATGTGATAAAATAATTTTAAAATAACTATAAACATTTCCATATTATCTTGATTTTCTCTATTCTGCCTGCAGATCAAAACCACAAATGAGTAGCTACTGTTCCGGCATAGTAGAGGCGTAGCAGATAAAGCCCGTGACAACGCCAAGACACACAGAAGTCAGTTCAAGTCCCAGCTGTTACACTTCCCACCCTGCCCCCTGGAAAAGCATCACAGGATACCCAAGGGCTTGGGCCCTGCACTCACAGGGACAGCCAGGTGACCCAGATGAAGCTCCTGACTTGGATCAGCCAGGGCCATTGTGCCGATCTGAAGACAGAACCACCGGTGGATGAAAGGTTTCTCTTTCTCTCTCTCCCTCCTCCCACACTTCCTCTGTAATTTTGACTTTTGAAATAAATAAACTTTAAGAGATAAAAATAAAAGACTTAGAAAAAGCACACAAATAAAACTTTAAACACCAAAAGGTGAAGGAGAGTGGATTAAGGTCGGATGACTTCTGAACACCAGGAAGGTCAAGCGTAAGTACAATGAAAAAAAAAAAAAGTGACGTGGGGCTAGCACAGTGGCTCAACGGGCTGAGCCTCAAGCTGCCAGGGCTGACATCCCATAGGCGTGCCAGCCTGTGTCCCAGCTGCTCCATTTCTGATCCAGCTCCCTGCTTGTGGCCTAGGAAAGCAAGGGAGGATGGCCCATGCCCTTAGGACCTGCACTAACCTGGGAGACCCAGAAGAGGCTCTAGGCTCTTGGCTTTAGCTCTGGCCAGTGCAGCCATTTGGAAAGTGAACCAGTAGAAGGAAGATCTTTCTCTCCACTAAGTCTGTCTTTACAATAGAAATTAATAATTCTTTGAGAAGAAGAAAAAAAAGCTATCTGGCCCCATCTCTCAATACAGTCTGACTATTGGTGAAGGGTGAAAATATTTTACATTTTCTTTTACTTATCTCTGCAAAGGGAGCAGGGCTGTGCTGTCACTACTGTTTCTTTCCCCATAAGTTACAACAACCATCAGTTTTATTAACTGCAATTTGGCAGCTTCTGCTGATAAAATATAGGGGGATCTGGACTAACTTTCTCATAATTAAAATTTCTATAAAATTTAGAAAACAAATTCATAAGAATATATAAGTATGCATGATTAGTAAGTACAAGGATGTGTTCAGGGGGCTCATTTTCACAAACTAGGCTACAACAAAATAAACCAAACATAGCACCAGAAGAATATGAAAAACAAAAACAGCTCCTTAGAAATAAAATAGTCTTCAGACAGCACCCAGTTGCCATTTACATTTGGTGACAACGTAGCTGAACTAATCAAGAACAATTTAATTCCACATTGCTTTAAAAATCATAATAGGAAATAAGCTTTTATGCCAAAAAACTTGCAACAGTTCTTCATTTTTATGTTAATGACTTTCGTTGGAGAACTTAACGAAATCTGTGGATCCTTCCCTCAAACAAAAACAGAAGAGCAAAGAAATGCAGCATTTCCCACGCATTATCAGTGAGACCACGTTCCGTAGGCAGCTGGAGAATTCTAGAATCACATTATTTCTAAAGACCTACTGTGGGGAAAAATTCATATTCTGTGATCTAAGCATTTCATGCCATCAATGACAGCTGTTTGCCACACATAGAGATGTGGGCTTTCTAAACATTTATTTTCCCTCTTTAGCAGGGCCACAAAAGAAAGACTCAGCAAGTGTCCCTGTGTTGCAACACAAGTTAAGGAACACAAGTTAACAAACTGTGACCAATGGGCTCTGGAGTGAGGGACACGTGTTGAAGCCCATGCTTGCTACTTTTTAGCAGTATGATCTTAAAATATATTTATATTCAACATAACCCACAATGTATTGTCTGCTTAAACAAAGGGTTATAATACAATTTCATAAATCTTTAGCAAGTATGTTTGATAGCACTGGGGAGAGCTTTAGTTCCCTCATCTGACTGACTGAAATGATATGATTAGAAGATTATGTAATACATGCAAGGCTCACAGCAAAAGGCCTGGTAAAGGCTAAATGCTCAAGGCCTGAACCATGGCATAGGCGGTAAAGCCACCACTTGTGATGGAAGAATATGGAACACCTCCCCTCTATTTCTCCCTTTATCTGGGTAGTTCTTGCACATAAACAAATCTTTAAAAAAGAGTAAATGCTCAGCAATCAGTTATAATTAATATAATTGTTGTGCTGGGTGTTGGATAGACGCCTCTAACATCTGGGGGCCAGTGAAGAGGTGTAGTGGGTAGCCAGCATCCCAAATGGGCATCTGTTCAAGTCCCTGATGCTCTACTTATTCACTTCCCTGCTAACATTCCAGGGAAAATAGTGGCCTACGAGCTAAGTGTTTAGCCTCAACTATTCACGCAGGAAACCCAAAAGAAGCTCTGGCTCCAGGCTTCCAAGCAGCCCAGCTCTAGCCAATGTGGCAAGTAGGGAAGTGATCCAGCAGACAGTAAATGTCTCTATCTAACTCTTTCAAATTAATAAAGAAATCTTTTTTAAAAAAATCTATCTGTAAGGGTAACAATATATGTGCTTGGGACGGGAGTATAAAGGTATTGAATGAGTGAGTGTCTCTCCTTGTCTCCATCTCTGTAGTGCTGGGAGGAAGAGGTGGCATAGTATGGGACAATCTTGGCGGCTGTCCCCTCCTTGAATACAGTATTCAACCCCCTGAATTCTTGGGGGTTGCTACCAAGTGTCAGCGGAGGCCCCCCTTGGGTTGTACCCTGGGATAAAAGCTGCCTCGTCTATAGTCACTTACTGTCCCTTCCCAACACGCCTGGCCCAGTGACTGACGGTTCTGGGGATACCAGGGCTGAGCCCCAAGCTTCGGTTCAGGACAAGTCTGACAGGTCATGCCAGCCCCAGACGTCCCGGAGCAGCTGAGGCCTCCTGTGTCAGTGAGACACAATTCAACTTGGCCCTCACCAGTCCCACTTCTCCCACTCCTCAAGCTACTGATCCTTGGAGCGCTCTTGCACACACATCTCTGAGTCTGCTGCCTGGGGAACTGACTAGCAACCCTTGGCCAGAAGTCCACAAGCTAACAGGAGATCAAAACGGAATTTACTACAGGGAAGTCAGCATAATTCCTCAATTATAAAATGAGAAGAGAACAACTGGAAGAATAAATGAAAATACCTGTAAGGCAATAGAAACTGTACCCAACAATATGCCAGTAATGCTTTCACTATAGATCAGAATAAAAGTGAAGGAGGAGGTACTGAGGCGAGATGCTATGAAGCCAGACAGAGTCCAGCCACACACACGCAGAGATGCAGGTGCAGCAGAAGCTGAACTCCCAGAGAGGCTTCCTCTATTCAGGAGCAGACTAATTGCACCAAAAAAAGGTTTTTACAGTAAGACTAGGCCCCCCTCTCTTCTTTCATATGAGAGGGAGACTTAGTTAATCCTGGGATCCAGATTGGCCTAGGTTACTAGTGTAGACCCACTATTATCAATTGCCTTCAATATGTGATATCACATACGTAAAGGGCAAGCCCTACAAAATGTTTATCCACATACACACAGAAGTACAAGATGTAGTATATAAAAGTGACTTTAATGTTGGAGTTCTGCATCAGGATAATTCTTCCTTCCATCGATGTGAACCGCTGGGTTTTGAACACACTGGGATTTTTCACAGAATGGTTTTCCAAGGAAGGTTAGAACTCATTATCCACATCTCTAACTACCATTGGCAATTAAAGTTCATCAAATATTGTATCTTAATTGCCTTATCTCAAAATGAGCATGATAATTACTATCTCATTCAGCAGGATCCCATAGAGAATAAATATTTAATAGTAACAATACAGTCTAAATACCACATAAATAAAGAAAATCATACAGATAATGGATGAAATACGCCTTAAGCATCTCATAGGTAGACAAATCTACAACCTCTGAATAAACTTTGAGGGAAAAAACAGTAATGAGATGTAAGTTAAACACAATAGGATAAGTATAAGAATGAGGGAAAAGGGCCCAGTGCGATAGCCTAATAGCCAAAATCCTCGCCTAGCATGCGTCGGGATCATATACGGGTGCTGGTTCATGTCCTTCCTGCTCCACTGCACATTCAGCTCATGCTTGTGGCTTGGGAAACAGTCAAGGACGGCCCCAAAAGCCCAGGCACCCTACACCTGCATGGGAGACCCAGAAGACTTCTCTGTCTCTCTTCCTCCCTTTGCAATAAAAATAAATAAATCTTTACCCAAAAAAAGTATCCCAAGACATTGTAACCATTTAACAATGTGCCAACATTACTGTACTGCCTCCCAACTGGGTTGTATTCAACATTCTGAGACTTCCCTAACGAACTGGAAAGGAACAGATTAGTATCTGTAATGAAAGAGCCACTCACAAGTGTGTCTGGCCAGAGAGTAGTTGGATCCACCGCTGGTCAAACCAAAACCTTCAGGAATCTGACTCGAGCTTCGAGGTCTCGTCAACAGTTTCGGCGGCTCAATTTCAGCACCAAACTCGGCTCCTATGACTCCCAGCAAAACGATAGCAGTGGCTTGCTTGCGTCTTTCTTCGTAAGACGTGGAAATTTTTTTCATTTGCGGGACACTTGATAAGCAACCTACCAATCAAAACATAGGAATACAAGTTAAAAAAGATCAATACAAAAATTAGAAAAGCATTCCACACTATGTATTCAACAGAGAACAGTCATTTCAATGTGCTGCACTGGACAGCCAGCCATTCTCATGTAAAACAATGAGTGTGCATCACTCTGCTACCATTCTGAAGGTCAGCCCAAAACGGATTACAGCTGTGATGGTTTTCTGGCCGTCAACTTGACTGGGCTGAGGGATATGCAGAGAATGAGCACATCATCTACAAGGCTGGCTGCAGAGACCGGAATTTGTATCAGCCACTTGAGTGCAGAAGACCCCCCCTTGATATGGGTTGTTGTAAACCTAGATACAACAGGAAAATAGAGAAAACATTGTTCTCTTGTTCTCTGTCTCTTCACGATCCCTCTCTATCTCCATCCCTCCTAAGGTGGGTCCATTTTCCATTATAACTGCTCGGACAGCAGATTTGAAGTGCTAAGGGCTCTGCCACCTGGGGGCTCTGCTCCCGGGGCAGTGTCACTGGCCTCTTTCATCTTGGGGCTTCCGGTTCTTTGACAGAGTCTCTACTGCAGCTCTCCAGGCTGCAGACAGCCGTCATGGATCGTCGAAGCCTCTGTGATCATGTGAGTCGATCAAATCAATCACACTATACATACGAATATACTCTCTCTAGCTCTCCCTCTCTCTTTCACACACGCGCACACGCACACATACACACTTATACATTGTCAGAGTGTTCTCAAAGAATGTTTAGGTTTTGATCTTACTGTTTCATAGCGTTCTATTTCATTCACCTCTACTCTTAGTTTTTTTGTTATTCTTCCACTTTTTTTCCTCCTCTCTTCTGTTTTATTTCTAGGCTGTTAGGTAGAACAAATTTACTTTCCATTTAGACAGTACAAAACCAGTATTCACTAAAATCAAGCCCTTTCCAGACCGGACATGCATCCATTGCCCAGGTCTAAACCAATCAGGACAAGGAGCATGCAAGCCCTAACTGGAAAAGACACCTGACTGCTACCCAGGGACTTCTCTAACCTGCACAGATTCCCAAAATAGTCCAACATGACAAGTCTGTGACCTTCTTGGAGTGACAGTAGTGAGCAACACTGCCATTTTGAACATACCAAGAGCTAAAAGAAGAAACCATGCTTGTACAGAACATGGGAGCTGGATTCATGCCCAGTGCTAGTACCAAGGTACAGGACAGAATTTCCAAGTTAGGTGCACAAACGCTAAAAACCTCAACCAGCTTCCTTCATTGCACCAGCAGGCTGACCCTCTTCCCACTGTGCTGCCTCCCTTATGCTTGAGCATAAGCCCCCAGCAGAACTCATCTCAACTGCATATTGGCCTCTTGTCAATTGCTACTAGCAAGTGATCGAAAAACAAAATTCAGGAGTTGGTGACACAATTATGGTATACTTCCAGTCAACATGAGGGTACTTCAAAAAGCTCATAAAATCGAAATTACAAGACAAGGTTAGGGGCAGATACTGTGGTACAGCATGATAACCTGTCACCAGGGGCTCCTGGGTATTCCGCTTCTAACCCAGCTTCCTGTCAATGCACCTTGAGGGCAGCAGATGAAGGCTCTTCCTCCCATCCATGAGCAAGACCAAAACAGAGTTCCAGGTTCCTGGACTTTAGCCTGGCCAGCCATCTGGGGAGTGAACCAGCAGATGCAAGATACTTACCTTTCTCTGTCACAATGTCTTTTAAGTAAATAAATGTCTATTAGGGTGCAATAAATTTTGAAATTCATGCATATGAGAGATCTTCAAAACGTTAGTGAAAAATATATATTATGAGAAAACTATATGGATTTCAAATTTTTTGCACCAAAAAAATAACCTTTCTAACTATTTTTTGGTGTTAATGTTTCAAAGTATCCTTGTATTTAATATCTATTTTCCTCTACTACTTTAATAACACACTTAGTTTTATTTGGAATAGCAAGGTACTAGGATCCTTTTAAAGTACTTTAAAGGAACTGAAAATGTCAGAGCCTAATTCTTGATTTAAACCATTATTCATGTTGTAACTTTTTAGCTCACAGGACAGCTAATGTGGCTAATGGTTTCCTCCCATATCACTGCGTTTCTGCTTTACTGCAGTCTACAGATGTAACCTTCTTTAGCCCAGTTGTGTCTCTGGTTTTCTATTCTACCCGTCATACCTAAACCCTGGCACCGAGTTCACAACAGTGCACTCCTGGAGCTGTCTGGACTGGCGCTGCCAGCTTTCTGCTCTTCTCACCTGTGCTGGTTGCTTTCAATCCTTTACTCCTTACACTGACTAATACAACAAACTGCATTAGGAGCTAAGTGTGCCAACAAAGAAATTAACAATAGGATCTCTGAATAATTTCTGCTTTTTTTTTAATTTGATCTCTCTGGCATTCTAAATTGCTGAAGGTGAGTCAAGCTAACGAAATTAGCAAGGCATGAGAGGCCTTATATGGCCAGTTGCATTTTAAACTGCTGGTTAATGGGAAGTATTTGAATGATTCTGTATAAAGAAAGTGTGACAGTAGTGTCCAGTGGCAGAATGGGTGATGGACTGGGATGTGGAACAAGAATAATGGCAAGCAGAAGCAAAACACAGGTTCACACAATGACCAGGTGGAGAACACCAAGTACCAGTGGCAGGGGGATTGCTTTAACACGCCAGTTATCCAGCATATAAGTACTGGACATCTAGTGGATACGCGACCCTACAGTGAGATACGTTGTAGAAATGACAACAGTAAAGTCCTGCTGACAGTAAGCTTAATAGCTGTTAAATTGGCAGATGGAAATGTGTACAATACAGAATTAATGAGAACCTTCAGGGCTGAGAAGTTGAAGGAGGATTTAAAGCATAAAGAACTTGTTGGTTTCTAGCTCAAGGATAGGGAGGTTGGCTAGTACTGATGGATCCAGGAGGAGAATGGTGATAAATGAAACAAATCAGAAAGCTAAGGCCAGATCATTAAACTCTGTACAGGTCGGACTCCCACTTTAATTTTTGTCCCATTAACAATAGGAAGATAATAGGGTTTTAAGGTACAGAACCATCTAATTCAATGTAGGTTTTCAGAAAATTACTCTGAGCAGTTAAGTTGCCTAGTTCTAGTCCTTTCTCTGCTTTCCAATGCCTGCTGACCATCCAGCTCACGGCAGGCAGCAGAGAACTCCTGAACCACCTGGGTCCCCCGCACCGACATGGAAACCCTGAAGGAAGCCAGACTCCAGGAGGCTTCAGCCTGGACTGCGCTTGGATGATGGCAACAACCAGGTAGAGCCAGTTAACACATCATCTTTCTCCCTCGGTCCCTCATCCGTAATGCTGCTGCCCCCTCTTTCTTTATGATGAAACAGAAAATACATAATTAATTTTTTAAATTTTAAAGAAATAACTAAGAAGTGTCAGTACTAAAAGAAATATGGGATTATTTTAAAAAATAAAAAGGGTGATATCAGAGCAGTCGCTGCTTACTTGGACTCCAAGAAAAGTTTAGACCAACTGTAAACACGAAAAGCTCTATTGTCAATGCTGTTATGGTTTCTTCAGAATATATTTTACCATGCTTTTGTTTTTTAATTAGCTCTGAAACTCTGTAATTAGTCTTTAAGTAGGGCATAAAAAAACACAATCTAAAATGAGTCCTCAAAGAAGAGAGCCTTTCTAAAAACATTCTATTTTTGTAACATTTTACCTATTCTCCATTTTTCTGATTTGTCTAATTTTATAGAGTATATTTCAAATTACATGCAGATTGCTTTATAACAATGCTACTCCAATGTTAGGAAAGTATCTTGTAATTTACACTGACAAAATAAATCATATTTTGTAAATTATATTTTATATAAAGGCATTTGGTTTAAAGGTTGAAAAATATTTAACATTAAAGAAGATCTAATCTAATGCCGTAGTACATATTTCTCCCTCTTTGCAGAAATTGACTAGGTTTTTAAACAGAGAGGAAATGTTGGCCAGAACGCATTAGCAAGTACACACTATCCCAGATTCAAACTGTGGCACTGATCTGTGGTAGTTATGGTGATGAAAGTGGGAGAAACAACTTGTGCACGGTTAACTGTACCAAGGGCAGGGAACACCAAGCATCACTGCATCCTGATTCTAAACAAAATGATCGTGGAGATTGCCGTTCACGCATTTAAAACCAACTTTGTTTATGCACAACAACTGGCACGAGGACTGAGAGCGCTGTGCCATTGCAAGCTGGGTTCGCCCACCAGATATTTCCCCCCTTACGCAGGAAGCCAGCCCAGCCCCTCCCCCACGGCTCAGCACGAGCGCGCTCCATAACAATAGTTCAAAGGAAAGCTCTCTTCTGCAGTCGCACTGATTGTTCTGTCAGCTGACCTCTGCAGAAGGGAATTGCTAACCGCTGCCTTGCTCCTTAGCTGACAAATGAATGATCGCAGCTCCATCTATTTTCACTATGGCTGCCTCTAGCCCAGGTGCTCAGACGGAGAGCCCGGTGTGACATCTTAGATCAAGATGAATTGGCACAAACTCCTGATCCAAGATTGTTTTATACCATTTAATTTAGTTTCTTCCCCTGCTTGGATGAGCACAGCTCTGGTTATGGATTTCTATTCTAATGTACTGAAGCAGGCCCTGAAAGGAGCCAATGAAGCAGCTGCTGGAGCAAGGGACTGCGGGGATACTGATCAATAGGCAAGGCATTGACCCCAGCCGTTCAGCCTCTGCAACGGCTGCCGCTCCCAGGGGGCGGGGGCGCACGAGCACACATGTGCAGCTTCCAGTAGGAAATTAAACAACAGGGGCATCTGGAGAACTCCGCCTCCATCCTCGGCCCCCCTCGGCCCCCGCCCTTCTCTGTGCTCCTTTTGTTTAATTACCTCAATCTTCTATGAACTCCCACTCCTCAGGAAGAAATTAAGACTCGAGGGAAGTTTTAATTATGTCTTTGCAAATCGCCATTTGTAAATTCTACCCCTAAGCCAACAGAAAGAATTGTAACAGGTGC